ATGCGTTCATCATCAACCAACACCGTAAACTTGAGTTGATAACATATAGTTCAATTAACCGTTACACGTCATCAATTTAATGACGTCACTAAATTACCTGTCGCGAACTTTCTGAAAGATTTGAACTATTTTAAATCACGTACCTACTGATCTAAGGGGAAACAGGGTGAAAGACAATTTTACCGTGCAGTAAGAATACATAATTTAAATAGAGATACATGTATAGCGGCACGTGAGGAGGCGAAAGATCACGCATCCCCACCATTCATATTCTAATGATTTATTTATTTATTTGTTTACTTATTATTATCCCTCTCTTGTTCGGTGCCCTCAACAGGCCTACGCCCAATTACAGAGTGACCCGCGTAATATGCTTTAGCTATTAGGGCGCCACGGGGCCAATTTGGCTCCTCATGCTCCTGCAGACTCTAAATTAGTTATCTGCGCATAGCCCGCTGTAGCTTTAGTTACGTGCGGGTACCAATACGTCACACTAGTCTACCTTTTCACAGTCAAATGCCATAATATACTTGTCATTTATAGCAATATGAGAGGCTTAGCTATATAACCAATAAATAAACCAATTATTCTATAAAACCACTCACCCCAATCGTCAGGTTCATCTAGACCTCTAACAGTACCTGGTATCCATGGATGCTCTCTGCCTGGACCGCTGTAATTACAAGAAATACAAGGGGCACCTCTGTCTTACATTCAGATACATACAGTTGAATTCACGAAAAGTGAGCCTTGCGTCACTAGTGTGAACCAATTTCAAATGAGTTCTTGATTCTCTATCATGTGACGCATGAGCGAGAAAGAGATTGAAATAGCCAATCTATGCAACGAACTGTGACACTGGATTATACCAAATACTTTAATACTCACCATAATTCATCATGACGGCTTAGTACCTAAAAAGAGACATACATTAACAATAAATAGTATCTCAGATAAATACTCATATCACAGATCAATAAAAACATCTTTTTCCCGACAGAGGTAGCTAATAACCTTAGCATTTGGTGCTTCCTCTATCGTTGATCTAAATCAAGAGATAAGAAAAACACAAAACTAACCATTTACAGATGAAACAAATCTACCTGTCAAAAAAAATAGGCGCTCAGGGCCATAATAACACATACCACGCAACAAGCGATCGATAGAACAATAAATCCTAATTATTAAAATAAAATCTCAGAGTGGTAACTGCGATGTACAATAAATGACGCCCAAACACAAAACACCAGGTGATATTGCTCCGAAACTTCACTTCGTGAAGGTAAGTATGGAGTAAAACGAGTACTCTGGGTAACAGGCTGAATTTTTATTCTATGCATTTTCTTTTAGGCGACGATTTCCACTAACAACCGAAAAGTTCAATAGATTCCAGAAGATTCTAAAATATTTCCTTTTACGGTGATTCTAGGAGGTTTTTAACAAGATTTTAAGGGGAGCGTAAGAATATGCTAAAAACATTCTAAAGAAACTCTGAAAAGCGAGAAAAAAATGTTGTGGTGCACAGTTGTACCCGACTTCCCATTTATTAAAATATTTCAAGGCAATTTTATTTGCAAATACCGCAAATAAAGCTAAATATGGAGGTTACAATAAAAATCCCTTTCTATCTCTTGACAATCTATAAAATATATTAAACTGAACGAAATACAGAACTAAAAAAACGGGAATAGGTCATTTTATCTCGACTCATGAAAGGATAATCAATAATTTAATTTAACTCTCTTCAAAGGGACTGAATTAAAAAGCAGAATCTACTTAGTTGGTATAAAGTAAAACTGAACACGTAGTCTACAAATAATAACTAAAACACTATGAAAGTCCGATAAATGAAAATTTACGAGTCCGCGAGGAAAACGCAACACGTACTGTTTCAATGCTCTTAAATTTTCATTCGAGTTCCAGTATTTGTCAACTTTTGGAGTGTGACCAAGGTTTATGCAGCGTGCTATCACGTCCAATGATTATATTTTGTGATAAATTCCCTACGAAATCTACGGAAGCGGAGAAGGTACCTACGAGTTATATTTTTTCATTAATTTATATGTTTAACTGTACATTTACGTTTTTATCTGGGATTGTCCTGTAATAGCGTTAGAATCGTGTCAGGGACATATCATGCTCAGGAATTGGATCTCGGACACCTGCGAAAAGTGAAAGGGACGCTTTGGAGAAGTGCATTTTAGAAGGCCGCGATAGCCTTCTATGGCGTTGCAAGAACTTTTAGGGTTATTTCCCATGGGCGTCCTATAAAGGGCTCCTTGATAAGTGGTCTATAAAGGACATATGATAAATGAAAAATGCATCCAGAACTTTGGTTGGTCTCTAAGAAATGTGAAGGGTCTAGACAGGACTAAAAGGCTTCTGTAAAGGCGATACAAAGCTAAAATTTTTGTTTTATTTTCTCTTGTTCTGGGTCCTCAACAGGGATGCGCCCAATTACAGAGTGATCCGCATAATGCTTTTCAGAGGTGCCCCTGGAGAAGGTCTTAAGTTGTTCCATAATAAACGTCAGGGGGGCTGGTTGAGCATTGAACTACTGTACAAGCGTTAAGAATGTTTTCCATAGTCTATTAGCGCTAAATTGTTTAGGGGTATTGAGTTTCGTGCTTGGCGAATGTTTGTTGGTGGATTTTTAAAGCCAAGTTGAAATGCGCATATCAGTTCACTTTTTCATTTCTTTCCTTTCATCGCTAAAAATTTTCTAATTGGAAAACTTTGAAATGATATTAGTATTTGGCGACTATCCGGATATGGTGTAATTTTGTATATATCGAGTCTAAACACATCACTCATTCTGGAGGATTTAATTGAATTTTTGGAGAATGACGTAAGTAGCTGCCATTCTCTTTAACCACCTGTGTCTTTCAGAACTCTTCTATTCGTTGTATATGAATTTTGAGCCTAAAATTTTTAAACCGTTGCCGTCTTGCTTTCTAAACACTGCGTCAAGATAGAGACGTCTATCTTGGAGATCTCGGAAACCATAGGATATACGACGATGGTTAAATTACTGAATAGTTGCGCAAGTACACGGACATTGTCATTGTGTATAGGAAACCAGAAAATTCCGATTATTTCCTAAATTTTCCAATTTCGTTTTTATTTTTTTCTGATGTTATTTGAATAGATACAGAAAAATAAAAATTATAAAGTTTCGTTTCGGAAAAATCACCAACTTTATTTGTTCCTATGCCCCGTAAAAGTACATACTACATTGAGTAGCAACAAACAAAAGATGGAAACCGTTGGTTTCAACAGGATGGTGCACCCTCGCACAACGCCATAATCTTGCGAGATTAACTATCGGACAATTTTCCTGGAAAATCAAAAATATGTTCCGTAGGTATTCTCGCACAGAATACAAGTATTTTGACACCTAAAGGTACTTTCAATATCATATCATTTTGCCATAAGAATTCGACATTTCGGGATTTTTGGTATAAAACCGTAACTTATTTTTATTTTATTTTATTATCCCTCTCTTGTTTTAACGTTAATCGATCTAAAATTATATAGAAGTGTCATGTTTAACTTTGTAACAAGTTGACTAGTTAACCGAAGCTCTGCTATAGTGGTGAAATATATAAATATATACTACTTGGTGATGTTCCAAGAAAATTTAATAGCGATTAAGGTAATCGTTGTTTTATAGAGCTCTGGGAAAAATTTTGGAATATTGAGAGTATTTTAAAAAGTGCTTACTTTTCATTTTATCGCTCGAGAAAATACCTGTAGGTACTTTTACGTTTTGAATATTTAGTAATGTCGCGCAGATGAAAATATGAAATCTGTCTCTCATATTAAAACTTTAAATGTAATCCGGGAGCGAATATGCCACAGAAATGGGTTTTTAATGTTTTCGGTTGTAAATCCATACTAAACGTATGAATCGTCGCAGATAGACACTGCCAGGGGGTATAAATTATGAGTACATTTGCTTTCCTAAGCCAGGACGATGGGACCCGAGATTCACATTTGCACTTTTCTAATGTAAATGTTTCTTAAATCAATTTCAGGGACGGTAGATTGAAGAGATACCTAACGAGCTTGGCGAAAAGACAAGCTTCATGGGATTACGATACTCTGGGATAATTGTCAATTAGTGTGAATCGCAAACACATGTATGTAGAAAATTTAATCCACTATCTCATATACTACGGAGGAGGGTGCGAGGAAATGGCAAGCAAAAGATATTTCCTTAAATACTTGCCTTTGCAGGAGCTGACACAAATACAGAAGTGCGGATGAAGTACTTCAATTTAGTTGTTTTACTTACAGGCACGGTACTTGTCTCATTAAAATAGATAGTCATATCCTAATTGTAGACGGACATCCCTGCTACATCAAACAAGGGCTTACAGGTTGGGGTCGATGCTCAGTATACGAACGGGTCACGACGTTATAATAACAGGAGTGTTTAATCTAGAAAGTTCTTAATGCAATAAAATGTGAATTTTTTTCTTATTCTCATCAAGGCGTTCTTTCGAGAATAGTTTTTGAAACTTTAATTAAAACGTAGATCTATTTCAATTCGTACTGCACTCAACGTCGGTAAAAGATCACGTTCTAACTTCAAGCAAAGTTAGCGAAAGCGCCTTAGAAAGGTGTGTATTTTCCATTCCACGATACCAATAAGATTCTAAATCGACAGACCTTTTTCATTCCGTAAAGGTTGGAATCTCTGCAATTCGCTGCTCTTGAAAAATAAAAAAAATTGATTGTTTTGTTAGGACGGCTCGCAAACAATAAGCCTTTGTGTTGATGGGAGATGGTGAAAATACCACTCCGCATTTCTAAGTAATCACTTCTCCACATTTACTCCTGATTCTAAAACAGTTAAATTCTATATCTTTTTAAACTTTCGCTGTAGGGTTATATTTAGATGTTACTAACGTATACGACTGGAAGTTGTGCTCGTTCGCGAACTAAATCAATGATATGTCTATTATATTGGTGAGGGAATTGTAAATTTGTATTGTTTCAGGTAACGTATTCGTGATCGCCGCTATACTTCTAGAGAGAAATTTGCAGAACGTAGCAAATTATCTGATTTTATCGCTAGCCGTTGCTGATTTACTCGTGGCTTGCTTAGTAATGCCCTTGGGTGCTGTATACGAAGTTAGCCAGGAATGGACCTTGGGACCTGAATTATGCGATATGTGGACGTCCAGCGACGTGCTTTGTTGTACGGCGTCAATTTTACATCTCGTCGCTATAGCTTTAGATAGGTAAGCTCGTAAAATGCTAGCTTTTTACGTGTAGTACACTATTTGTCGTTATTTACATATCAATGTGGTAAATCAAGGTAAATCAAGGTTTACGTTAACGAGTGAGATGGTTCAAAACGAGTAACGTAAACTGATTTAACTTACAAATAATCCAAAACAGTTTATTTCATAGGTACTGCTCTTTTTTCAATTAATACCATAAAATTCGAAGTTTTGATTAGAATATTTTGCACATTCAAATAAAAGCATAAGTCGTTACTTGGTTTGTTTGATCTAGCAGTAGATGCGTTTAGATAGCTGTCGGTTGATGTTGGTAAGCTTAAACTCCAGGCTGGTAAAATACGATTTACCAGACTCATGAGTCTGGTAAAGCGGCGATTACTAGATAGTATGAAATAAATAGCCACTACGTCCGTATTTCGACTAGAAAATGTAATTTCACTGATTTCCTCTAAAAATTCGCTCTAAAATATAGAAAATGCACCGAAACATGCACGGTCGAACTGTTTAATATACATAAAGCGTATCACTTAATTACATCAGGTGGTTCAACCGTAAATACCCGGAATACATTTCTAAAATAGGAAACAGACGTTGTGATTATTAAAAAGTACAACTGAAACTGTTTTACAACCATTTCACGTTTAGTAGGAGTGTTTAACGCAGTATGTAAACACCGTATCAACCCACTGTCATATCATGGAACGTTAGCTTTGGCCGCATTAATGTCGATCTGTGATCATATTGCACACACCCCAAAACCTAATAAGTTAAAGGGTCCACGGGTCACTGCACTTTACAGATATTTATATCTGATTATTACACAGCAGGAGGTCCACATAACGGTTATATTTAGTGGCAGATTGCTCTATTATTGTAATCCCCACACGTAAAGGGTATTTTTTTTTCGTTTTCGGGTCAATGCATGGGATGACTAAAATACGCCCTGACACCTTGGCGAGTTTTAATAAATGAAACGCTATTTTTAAAGAAAATCCCGTAAAAGCTAGTAAGTGCAATCCATTTAGATCGTTTATCACTTAAATGCGCGTGGTAAAAGGTTGCTAATGTAGGATGTACAATTCATTGTCTAACTTAATGCGTATACAATGTACTTGTAACACCAAAAGTTTAGGTTACAGCTCCATACAAATTTTTCTAACTGGATTTGGTAGTCATTTGTACAATATGTAGTTTCACCTTGCACATTGAATCTATTGAATATAAGAACCGTAACTTCCAATGTGGTCTCCGTGCTAAAATCGTTAGCCCTGAGAGAGACGAACAGAATTCATACAGATATTAAAATTTGTCATGGCAAACCATTAAAAGGATTGGTAGTTTTCAGTTCAAAGTCTACAATATCATATACAGGGTGTCAATTTTAAAACTGCAGTCGGCCCTATTTTCCAAACTAAAGAAGATATTAAAAATCGCGCAAAACCGTTTCGGGAGTATCGAGGGGGAACCAGAATGACGTTATGAGTGACAACCCCCCACCCCCTCTTAACCCCCCAGACCCCCCTCTTCAAAGCTCTTAAATGGCACCCCCATACTTGTGACACATCGTTGGAAAGCTTCTGAAAAATACTTTCCAGTGGTACCAATAAAGTCAATATTCATTAAGACAATTTAACAAAAATTTAAAATTAACAAAAAAAATTAATATTGACATTGAGGGATTTATGGCAAATAGGCCAAAAACTTCAACCTGAGCCGCTTCATTAAGCAATCTTGGTTGCTTTCTTTTTTTATTGACTTACAGTACAGCTGAACGTGTGGAAATAATATTAATTTAATGCTCTGAAAATCGATCCTATGTTCAAGATTTGGTCGCTAAATTCGAAGAAACGGGATTATCAATAAAAAAAGAGAACAACCAAGATGATAATAAGAATATAATCTTATTCTCTCGGGGTTCTGATATTTCAGAATGTATAGCTTTGAAATGTTACCGCCACGTTGCGCCAATGTTGTTGATTTTTCTTACTGACTCGTTGACACGTAGTTGCTCGTTAGGATATTAACTCGTTGTATAAAACTGACCTTTTTTGCTTTGCATTATATTAAAACATGTTATGTATTTTGTAGTAAAGAAATAATGTGGTTTGGGTAAAATTATGAAAATAAAACCTTGACTGAAACCCACCCACTCATAAATAAGAGTCAAAAATTAAAAAAATAAAAATAAATAAAAAATTGGGAAGCGCGAAATTAAATGTTCCACCACGATCAAAACTGATACGTTACCTGAACTATATCTTTAACCCAATATATGCAAGTAATACATCGTCTCCTATGATGCAAACGTTATAGGCTACAATTGAAACAGTATAAACAATTGCATGTGAAATTCAAAATTTAATACTCAACTAATGTTCTAATGATAAATTGAATTATAATTTACCCCCAAAGTCTTACGCGCATATAAATACGATATAAACGATTGTTCAGAGGAACGCAAACGTATTTCAGTTTATTTAGTATAATTATGAAGAATGCCTTATCTCAAGCAGCTGATGTAACTGTGACATCACAGGAAGATGCAGTCAAACGACTTGCAGTGTACTTAAGCCCCAAGTTCTACGCTAACGTCACACTACAAGAACACGGAAATAAAATCAACCCGGCAACGTTTAAAAAGGCCACCGGAATGGCTATCACCTCCAAAAGCTAACCGGAGCCCGCTTAAATTCGAAATCAATAAGTGGTTCGAGATCAAACAATTAAGTCAGGGCCCCCTTACGATTGTTGTAGGCAACGCTATGATGCGGTAGGAAAGGAACTCAAAATTGAACACTATGCTATCATCTAATAAGATAGGTAATAGGATAATTCGTATTTGGAATAAGTCTCTGAATTTTGATCGGTTATTTTAATAGTCAATCATAAATTGCAAAACAGAACTGGTTGGAGTAACAAAACAAGGTAGCACCGATGTCTCATCTTTGGTGCCATAAAACCCTTCCGTTAGAATCAAGATAAATTTGCCAAAAATTACACCAAAAACATAAACGATTCCAAACAAAGGGTGAACGGTATTTTTGATACACGTGATGCATTGAGGTTAAATTACAATTTCAAAAACAAAGATTGTAAATTATAAAAAATATAAAATGTTGCATACAAAACACAAACAAATTATAAAGACATACAAAAATTACTACTGCACTAAATAACACTAAAATAACAACAAACTTAAACTGCATGCCGCTTTCGTAAAATGAAGATACCGGTACGTAGCAAGCGTTGGTGTTACATTGGTATAATTGTAATGGGTCTGTAATTTCCCCGATCTTAACAATCTCCTTTTTTAAATAATGGCAGTACCACGCTGACCTTAAATGATTCTGAAAAGTTACCTTCACGTATGCAAAGGTTAAGAGAACGCGCAGTTTTTTCCTTCGAATAAATCGGGTGGTCTCTCTTAACAGCTATCTTTCACATTTGCATCGCTCAGCTACGAATCATTAATCATACTTTCTGTTAATCGGATAAGATGGAATAATGGAAAATCAATATTTCGCTGATAAGTTATTTTTTCATTCCAGATACTGGGCTGTTACTAACATAGACTACATACATCATCGAACAGCCAAACGAATTGGAGTAATGATAGCAGTAGTATGGTTTGTGTCCTTTTTGGTTTGCATAGCACCTTTACTTGGATGGAAGGATCCGGGTTGGGCAGGCAGACTCGAAGATAAGAAATGCATTGTTAGTCAAGACATAGGGTACCAAATCTTTGCAACCTCATCCTCGTTTTACCTGCCACTAATGGTAATCCTTATATTGTATTGGAGGATATTTCAAACTGCCAGAAAAAGGATTAGAAGAAGACAGGCCAGTTACGGCGCGACGAGTAGTGGTAATCAAAATCCGGCCGCGGGCGGAATAGCCGGCGGGTTAGCTGTCGCTAGTGGTACGGGTGGTATAGCAGCCGCCGTTGTTACAATCATCGGAAGGCCACTTCCTACCATATCCGAAACAACCACCGCGTTCACGACCGTTTCATCAAACTCAAACAACACAAGTCCAGAAAAAACCTCATTTCCGAACGGGTTGGAACCGGAACCTACCACAACCGACTTTGGTGCTATCAACTATCAGCCGCAGTACTATGCGATCAAAAGGAAAAAGGACTCGGCCGATTCGAAGCGAGAACGAAAGGCTGCCAAAACTTTAGCTATTATAACTGGAGCATTCGTCATCTGCTGGTTGCCATTTTTTATAATGGCCGTGCTGTTGCCTATTTACAAAGACTTTTTTAAAGAGTACATTATATCGTTGTTCTTATGGTTAGGATATTTTAATTCAACGCTTAATCCGATTATATATACGATATTTAGTCCAGAATTTCGGCACGCATTTAAAAAGATCTTATTTGGGCGAAACTATGCGCGTCGAAGGAATAGAAAATTTGGAATAAAAAACCTTCAATGATGTAGGCAAAGTGACGTCTTGTCGACGGAACGTCCAATCGCTACTAGACTGGCTGCCACAGTAGCTGCCGCAGCTGGTGCTAGAACCGTTACATTCGAATGTGATTAGTCCCTCGACGAGATGTCGCTTTGCTTTGAACTGCAAGAAAAAACGGGTACTCTTTTTATTAGTATAACGAAGTGTTTTAAATGCGTGAATGAAGCTGAAACGAAACAGTCATCGAAGTTTAATAACAGGGTATGGTAAACGCACTTTTTGTAGGAATTCTTCGAGCGAATGCGTTTAAGGGGTTTCCCTCATTAGTCTATAAGCTTCTTTTTTAATGATAACGAATCATAATCAAGACGAAGACCAAACATTCAGATATATATCAATTTGAATTGAAAAAAACCAAATTTCTTATACGACTTAGAAGCATATCTGTGACACTTAATTGCAATAATTTCACGTTTTTCAACCATGTCTAGAATACATCACAAACAATTTATAAATGTGAAGTACAATCATGTTGTTGTTAACATCGTTTCTGTTTCATTATACCGACTCATCAACTTCACTTACTCTTGTTTACTTATATAAAAGTGGAATGCGGGCAATATTTTTATAAATAAATAAAACAAAAAGAATTGAATACATACTGCGCTTCCCGATCTTTTGTAAACGTTCATTCAGTGATCACAATGTAAAGGAGCCTTATATTATATTGAATTAGAATTATTTATAAAAAAAATATATTATAGGGTAATAACTTATTTTTGAGCCCTAAATAAGTTATTGTCTTAACAAAATGATAAAATCAAAGTGGACCCTACATGATTGTTGAAGTATACCTAAATATAAAATGTATTAAATAAATATATTAATGTGATTTTTTAAATAAAGTTATAAAAAGTCTCCAATTATTTCGTTTAACTCTTTCCTTTACGTCGTAAAATATGCCTCTTACATGCAACTTGTAATTTTTTATTTGAATTCGAAATTTCTATTCTACAGTGACTTTATGCGAGACAGATGCGAGAATACGAGCTCAAAGCTTCGCCCAGTTGTAATGTAGGCAACACATAATACACGTATGACATAATGGTGCGTTAACTAGCGAAGCGCTTCGCGAGCTTTAAGAAAATGTCTGGTGAACGACTCGTTACACTGCCACCTTCAAAAAAGTTAAATCTGTAGCGCTTTATAAGCGCTACTTGTGAGCGGTAAGTGTACACTTGAGGCGCTTCAACCTGGTGAACTTAGGCAATAACCATATTATGTATAGTCACTGGATTATATTCGATACTCTTACGCCATCTATGTATTTCCTTTGTAAACCCGTTTAGTTTAGATGTAGTTAGTCGAGTGTTACAGGTTTCATGAGTTCTGCGTTAGAGTTCACGCTATGTACGTTCCAGCACTTCCTTTCTTTAATTTTATCTTGCGCATTCCCTGTACTTGTTCAATTCATAGTGGTTACTCGCAATTTTTGCTTGATACACCATGTTACGTGATATCTACCCGAAAAGGTCTCTTGGTTACCATCATATTTCGTTGAAGTGTTCCTCTCTATTTCTGAACTGTTGTGGCTGGCTCCATTGAATACGCTTAGCGGATTTATACTTACAAGTAATAAGTGTGAGGTATGTAAAGATTAGGCCATTATTCTTAATACGTATTTTTTAGAGCTTTGTTTCCTATCTGAAGTTTCTCTCAGTGTTCCCTCATAGTTTTCTCCTAAATTTTGATCATTTTATCTTCTAGATGACACTATCTACCTGCATTACTTTTTGAAGTTACCTAGACGAATTTAGTCATCGGTATCTACGATTTTTACTGACACTTGTCTTATCACGAAGAATTTTCTCGTATTAGTTTATTTACATTTTGAAGTAATTACATTACATTTTTTGTATAAAAATTTAGATATTTGTGAATAGTACAGTAGTTTTCATAAATTTAACGTCACGTTTATGGTTTTATCAAAGAGAACTACTCTTTGATTTTATATTACCGATTTGTACGGATTATTCGTTGTCGACCGTAAATTATTGATTCTTATTGAGTATTAATTACTGTTTTAGTATATGAGTGACCTGATTTACGTCGAACGTTAGACATTACTACCGCAATATTTATTTGCCGCTATTCTCTATCCCTCTTGTATGTGTTGTTATCTGTTACATATAAGGCAGAAAAGCGCCCTTCTGAGCTCAAAAGATCGTTACGACCAGTAATTTTTATTTTCGACTACACTTTGATATAACGTTTGATTACATTCTGGTTCAAATTCAATCGAATTGTAATTACTACATTTGTTTGATAGTCAGTTACTAATTATGGCTCCGTAGTTTTCCGCGGAAGATATTGACAATTTTGAAGACCACAAATTGATCCCTGAAACTTGATTTTAAAATTTTAAATATTGACATTTCAGATCTAGATATTACAGTGTCCTATTTGTAATATTTTGAGATTATTTATTAAAGCGCCCTCGATTGTGACAACAATTATTGTTTATGTTCTGCCCTATCAATTATTATATTTATTTAGCTTATCAAAACCAGAACAAGGATCTCTCTTTCTCTGCCTTGTTCCCCCTTTCGACAAATATTCTCTTTTCTCTTTTGGAATTTACTAAAGACTAAGTGGCGCTATCCGGTGCACTATATTTCTTTTTGCTTCGTTTTGAATAGTGTCCGGGAAACCCATTATTCACCCCGACCCCGTATGAAAGTAGCTACTTCGGCATGAAGTCAACTCCTATATTCGCATTGAATATGGTACTGATTTTGTAGAATTGCAGCAACAAAAGACAAAATACTTAATGTATCAAGTCCCATGGCCCTACTCATTCCACAGATTTTATATCAATTCTAATGGATGGTTTAGAACTAAAGAAAGTATTTCTAAAATTTGTATTGTGTGCAGCATAAGAAAATTTACACATGTACCGCTTAATAGTGAACGTGGAGGAAAGTATGTTTGGCGATAACAAGAAACGTATTGCGGAACGCGAGCGCGGTTGCGACCATCTTTTTGAACCTAAAGGTTTCGTTCCTTTTTGCAAAATACCAACCGCGTGACGGAAACGCAAGATTCCTATTCGTTAAAAAAAGTTTCGTTCAAAAAATAGGTCCAGTTTCAAAGGTTCCAAGGGCGAGATTAGGGAGAATTGGGAGAGCGGTAATTATGAAATTCAATTAACCGGCGCATTTACCCGCAATAAAAGCTAGTTAATAAATTGGGCAAAATTAATATCAATCGGAATTTTATTTCTGTGCATAAGTAATCACGATCTCGAGTATTACTTTCTCGAATTTGAAGCCGGTTTGCTCGGATTCGTAATACGTATGACATTATTACTTTGCATTCATCACGGAATTAGCTGTGCCATACAGAAGCGATCTGTTTCCTTATTTCCAAAGAGAGCGGCATTGCTACCAGAAGACCCCCTAGATTTAGTGTTGTGTAGTACATCGTAAGAGTTAATTAGGTTTATTCCTTAATTAACATTTTGGAAATAAAATCTTTTCATTTGCAATCCACATAAACATTAAACATTAGCTAAGCTACATGGAAATTTCCCACAATCTTAATGCAATTGCACAACTTGCAAAATTCCTATAGAAACGTGATACAACATTTATTAAATCTACAAGCAAGCAATACAAAACAACCAATCTGCATTCTATGCTAATTACAGTAATTACATAATAGAAAATAAAGGATACATTTACCTAAATTTGCGAATCCAACACATACACTCTGCATACCACAATTACTCTGCTACCTAGACAAATACCTCCCTACCTCTCTGTGAAAATCCGACGTGCGCAAGCTCGCCAACTTCGTCCTTGCGCTATTTGAATTGTTAAGTGCGCGGGTAAAATATTACATTGACGTAACTTGTGTTTTTCTCCATAAATTAAACGATCCAAATTTAAAATTTGGGTATTCTAACATCACAGTAGCTACAGTACTATTTGTGTTGCGGCAAATGCCATGTTTCATAAGAGCGGTACAGGCAATGATTAATGGTCGCTCTGTACCGATTTGTAAAAATAATTTTTTTTATTTCTAAAGCGACCACCCGTTACAATGTGTTGTTAAGTAACTTATTTTACCCAAAATTATTCTGAAACCTTCTTTTTCGTGCCTACTTTCTGTCAGAAAATTTTAGTTTCCATGACAGAGGCAGATCAGGCTACATTTCCTGCCGCTTGTCATTTTACTGGCCGCACCTGTCGCTTTACCTGCCGCACCGGCACTTTACCGGCCGCATTTGTGACATTTCCAAATGTCTATAATGACTCCTGTCATCATTGACAAATTGACATTAATCAAAAGTTCTATATAAAAATTGAAATGTTATATTAAAATACGATTTCGGGTAAAATTTAATACAAAACTCGTCAGTAAAATGATATTACCTGACTTGGAAATGAAAGTACTCGCCCCCAAGGGGGCCTCGCACTTCAATATTTCCTCGCCAGTAATGTATCATTTTCCCGACTTTTATGTAAATAACTATTGTAACCTCATTTGAAAGATTTTTCAATTCTGTGTCCAACCCTGTAACATCTTTTACCTCACAACGATACAGAATTGAAAGACCTTTCAAATAAGGTGTCACTTGACTAATGTGTCCCTCTGAAAACTACGAGTAAAGTTTCTTTACTGTTATCATTATCAATTGACTTATTTTAACTGGAATACACAGTATATCACATCTAGTAAGCAGATTGGCCTGTCCTTCATTTTTTCTTGGATTCACCGTCCAGAACACCACAGCAAATTGTTAATGTTCGAGATTATATTTTTATATTTTTCCATAAAAAACAATAACATTTTAAAATGAACATTCCGTACCAACTGTAGCTTATAGAAACTTCGATTCTAAACAAATTCATTTCTCTTCATGTTTTCCCTCAGAACAATAGTTAACGCGATGATTGAAGTCCAATACGAGAAAAATTGTGCCATTTTTCTTCATTTTTTGTTTATGACAATATGTTCCGGGAGTTTCCAGCCAGGGGGACTATGATTTTCGGATTCAGCGGATTTTTAAATTTTTTTTAGGTTTGACTGGACCAATGAGGAAGAAATCCCAAAACTGGGTCTGTTCAAAGCTTCGTGCGTTACTTTATTGACAAGTACAACAAATCCGCCTAGAACACTTCCTTTTTTTTCAACTATAACACACAGAATGAATCCAACGGTTTTACTTATGTCTGTATTTTTTGGATAACTGTGATCTCAAGAGGGCGCTGAACAAGATACACAAAATTAATTAAGTAATTAATTAAAAAGATATCCTTTTGGTCTCCTCTCAATATTATTAATATGTTATCATTTATCAATATTATCAATAACACAGTATATTGCCAATTTAACCTTTACCAGACCATAACCTTTAGATTTAGTCATTTTTTGTTCGTCATTGATAGTCATGTCTGAGTTGACTAACGTCCGAAATATGTCGTTCCAGTTGAAACAGTTAAAAGAATGTATTTTCTCCAAGGAAACGTTAGATGTTGAAGTTTGTACACTCCCAGTTGTAGGTAGTGGTACTCGAAGGTAAATGTTCTATTTTAGGAAAAAATTCTGGAAAAGCTAGCAGAAAGGTTTTATGGATGTTATAATCGGATCAGTGGATCAGCACAAACTATCGATAACTACTTTTTCTATTTAGAAACAGTAAATAAAATTCAAGATGAGCAATACAAAGAAAGATTTGGAACGTTGTTATTAAAATATTTTCTAGCCATTGATCCATCGGCGGCGGCTATGATTATTCTATCAATTGTATTATTTACAAGAGCAATCAAGTTTTTTGGCACCGAAGATCATGCCAAATATTATAAGGCCGTTGCTCGTGGTGAGGTTAGTTATAAACATCTGTAAGTCCTAAAAATAGTTTTTAAGGGTTCTAGATTATAGGCACATTGTGTTTAACCGAAGTTGGCCACGGTAGCGATGTTAAATTACTCCAAACCACAGCAACTTATCTCATTGACAAAAACGAGTTTGTACTTAACACCCCGAGCTTTGAAGCTGGAAAGTGTTGGAGTGAGAATATCGGTAGGTTTGAAAAACTTGGGGCGTGACGAAATTAGCTGATGTTTACTCATCAGGGGTATTGGCTACACACGCTATCGTTTACGCACAGCTATACATGCAAGGTGGGAAATACTGCGGGCTAGTTCCATTTGTCGTACCAATACGTAACTCAAGGACCCTACTACCCTACCCAGGGGTGGCAACGTGTAGTTTAGGAGAGAAACTTGGATTCAATCAAGGAGACCATGGGTACTTCAACTTGGTCTATCTCCAAAAAGCATTTATTTGTTAGACTTTTAGTTTTTCAAAACTACCGCATACCAAAGGAGAGTCTACTAAACAAATTTGCAGATGTGACACGCGAAGGCGGTTTCGTCATCCAAGACCACAGCAGATTATCGACCGCGTTGTTTGAGGTGCTAATCGACTGGAAGAATAGACGTAGTTTGCACAAACTTAATGTTACTTCGATACACACTTACCATCGCTTCAAGGATCGCATCGTCCCCTGTTCCAAATTTGCAAAATGTGAGACTTTTTTTAAACCAGATAAAGAGACATGAACCATAATTTGTAGCACATTCGATTAATGCCCTACATTTCTGTATATTACGTTGCAATCATTTTCACCAGACACCTTTGTGAAATACAGAACGCCCTTCTCTTCCCCTCCGATGACACATCGGCTAATCGAAACCGTTTAGGTGTAGAAATTCATCTGATATCATCGTCAGCTAAATGCCTTTTTACGAATTTGGTTCGGGACGGTACAAGTTACTGCTTAGAAGCGTGTGGAACACTGGCTTACCTTGCAAGTAGGTCAATAAACCACGTCGATTTTTTCATATTGCCCTTCAGTTTCAGGTGTTCCGAGCTTGAAGTACATTTCCGAGTCTGCCTGTACGGCCGAAGGAACGAAAGAGATTTTAGTGCAGCAAGTAAGCAATATCCTCATCAAAACCTGGAGAATGGCTCTAGAAAAGCGAGAAATAATGTTTCCAATGAATTCGATTAATTTCTTGAACCATGCGACTGAAATATTAAACTCTACGTTTAAATCTCAATCAAGTGCGGTACATCTGGATCTAGAATGTGGGTAAGTATTCGAAAGTACGTCTGAAGTTTAGAATATAATCTTGTAGCTACTTTGGGCCACTATAAGTGGTTAGTATGTTACTTACTGAAAAGTTCTTACGAAAAGCTCCACAAATGTTTTAACGAGGAAGGCAAGGAATTATTTTGGGCGATGCATGACAACCAAATTTATTTCGCCAAGGAATTAACTTATGCATACATTGAGGTATGATAACAATGTGATAGTTTACTGCGATAACTTTATGATTTTAGCATTATGTTATTCAAAAAGTTAGCTTTTACATTTCAAAGATGCCACACAGTTCAGTTAAGTCAATACTGGACAAGTTATTGTCACTTTACGCCCTTTGGAGCTTACACAACTACGTCACCTTCTTCTATCAGGGCGGATATGCTGCTGGATCAGAATTTGGCCAGTTTTTAGAAGATGCCATTTTGTCGCTTTGTCAGGATTTAGCAAGTGATGCTGCGTTGTTGACAAATGCAATTGCGTTACCTGACTTCGTATTTTCTTCTGTCCTTGGACAAAACACTCAAGACGTAAGTCTAAATACGGGTCCTTCTTACAACTGATTACTTATGACGCAGGTTTATAAACTTTTGGAAAATATTACCCCAAATTGGACCGATGCCGATGACGCAAATAAAAAATTGAATTCAAAGTTATAGCGTTAACTTCATTCTTTAGCGTTGTGTAACGACAAAAGTCAAGAAATAAACAAACTCTTCTGTTACGTCTGCAACGAGTTGTATTTATTTATTTATTTATTTATTTAACCAGAAACCATACAGAATAAAAATTCCAATTACATGGCACTGGGGCTCTGAACAAATATTAGGACTTAAGATCTAATTTTATTTATTATTGAATTTATTTGATATTAAATAAATTAAATAAACAGAAACAATCTGTGAAGTGAGTTTCAAATTCGTTGTCCTCGTTTATTTCACGATATATTCTTGTGTAAACTACGTCTTGCAGAGATTTGGCTTCGGTATACCTACAGCAATGATGGGCCATCCTGTATAATGTAAATTTTATTTTTTTTTAAGTTAAATGTGGTCGCTAATTTTAGATTGCACATAGAAATGATCATATTATTCGAATTCGAGGTGTATGTTATTTTTTATCAGAATTATAAGATGTTAATTTTGTTTAACTAATCCTTGTATTTTGTTTATTTTATTGTAAAGTTAAATTACATTTTAAAGATAAAGGGCATCTGGAATTATTTGCATTGCATTATTCTAAAAGTTTGTCTCCGGTCTTAGCTATAAGAAGTACTAATTAAGTTCAAGATAAGCAGACGTTTTGGCACGGAAAGAAAACACAAGTGTCAGTAAGAGAGTTTATCGTTTGACAAGGAGGAGAAGCGAAAGTGATAGAATGGAAAAATGGTTTATAAAGACGGGGAATTTTGGTCAAGCTGTTCGTTTGGTGGGCGCATTCTCGAGTATGACAGTGAACCGTAATTAAGTTTGTTTTTAAAAGACAGTCAGCCTTGTTGATAAGTAAAGATTGTTATAGAAGAAAGTTTGAAAGTTGTTCATCAGTTCGCCATGATGAAAGTGAATAGTTTGTGTCGAATTTCAGTGATGAATCACGTATCTTGCAGTAATCATAAAAATCGCTATCCCGTCAAAAATTATATCCAAGTCGTTGTCGCTTAAATCAAGCAAAAGTAAAGAAGGGAAGTTTTCGAAACAATATCACCTGGTGTTTTCTGTTAAGTGCGTCATTTGAGGTGAATCGCAATTGACCGGATGTAAGGATTTGCAACACCTTAGGGTCATTAAGACGTGTTTTAATTAATTTGTTAAATCGGTCGCTTGCTGCGTGGTATTTGTGCTCTGGCTTTCAGTACCTATTCATATTTCAGCTTCATTGATTGCTTTTATCGAGTAAATTTTGTTTAATCTGTATTGATGAGATGATTAGCTTGTTTTATCGAACCCAAGTTACGACGAGATAAAAGTGTTACACGTATTTGTTCCCAGGATTGTGAGGTATTGAATAATTCTTTGTAATTGTGAGTTCGTCAAAGTTACTTTCTCAAATTAATAAAATTAAGGCCTTATCGAGATTGTTTACAGTCGGGAATGCCGGACGTGCCTTGGAAAATGTTATAATTAAAATTTTCGTATGAAAGGACTTGTTCTAACTAAAGTTGGGGTTATATAATCCTTATAAAGTGTTTTCTCTTATGTACGTACCTTTGTAAAACGGTGCAGGAGCTTTGAAAAGAAGTATTTGTTGTAAAATGCAAGGTTCGTGGTCGTGGTACTGAGACAAGGAAATAAAAAATATGCAAAAAAACCGACGCCAGTGGTTTGTAGTTACTGTGATTTGTGTATTTAGTGAAAACCGTAACCGCCAACGCCTTATGCAAAAAAAACACTAACATTTTAAGCGCCAAATTCAAACTGGCTGCAGTCCTTTACGATCACCCCCCGGTAGCGATGGCTTTTCCTAATAGATCTCGAGTGCCACCTTCCACTACGTAAAATGTACCTGTCTTCTTAATTGTTCCAATCCCTATACTAAATTCGAAAGATACTATGACGTGAAGTGGTTTCTTACTCGCGTAATCCATCGATAACTTTGCTGGTTTCTGGACTTGATTCCATACCTTGGATTCCTTCAATTTGTTCTAAGGCTTTTGTGTTATGATGTTGCATTTACTCCCCGAATCTATTAGGATCTCTACCGAAATTTCACCAATTACGAAAGAAATCACACTGTCATCATCCAAGTGGAAAAATATAGTCAACTAGGTTTCTTGTGTTTAGGCTCTTTGTTCATCGGTTTAGTGTCTTTCTCTTCAAACCTGCCCCTTTTCATTATTCTTCTGGATTCACAGAACTTTTTGAAATGACCTGTGAAACCGCATTTACGACATTCTTTGTTTTTGGAAAACCGATCTGCGAAGTGAGTTTCAAATTGTTTTGTATTATGCGTTCACTTTGCTTCCGTTGTTTTGGTAACTGTAAAGAGGTGCAAGCAGGTCTGTGGGAAATCTCATGTCCACAAACTTGCGGAACCACAGTAACTACCAATTTCTACAAGTGACGTAGGCATCTTTCACGGCAGTATCATTTGATACTTTTTCTTCTAGGAAAAAATTGCTATGGAAAATACATATGACCTTTCACACTCTTTTTGGGGCGAATTAACTACTCCATCTTAAAAACGTCACATGCGGATAATAGTGCTTATCAGTGTTGCCCTATGCACTATATTATCTCTAAGAGAAACATTACACCACATTTTGCTTACGGTTATTGATTGTGTGGTTCAAATTTCATAAAAATAATGGGTACCTTGCAAGTCTTTCCAAAATCACCTTTAGAGAATTACCGGAAGAGGGCATCCTTCGACTGGAAGAAACTGAAAACGATTTTGTATTCCGCCGAGTCGATTAACTTTCAGGTAATATGCTCTGGTATCTTCTGAAATAATATGGCATTCTTCTCAAACAGATTAAATACTACGATGAACTTAGAAAACATCCCACGTTACTTAAGAATTCCCCGTTAACGCCTTCTCTAGAAAATCAAAAGAGGATTTCTACAAACGAAATGTTCGACTTGATTGACATAAGGGAACATTGGAATTGTGAAAATGCGCCACTACAAACAGACATTAAAATAGTTGCCAATAATGCCGCCAGTTTAAAGTCCGGTTTCGATTTTAATCTATTTTCGGCAGCTATATCCAGAATGGGTACGGAGCGCCATCAAAAATTTGCGGAAAGGAATTCAAGGGGTGAGGTAGGTGGATATGCTTTTTTGTCGTCTATTTTTATTATCACCTCAGATCATAGGGTCACTTGCTCTAACTGAAATTGGGCATGGATCTAACGCTAATTACATTCAAACCAGAGCGGTATACGACAAACGGGCAAGAGAGTTCGTTTTAACTACACCAAACTTTTTAGCCGCGAAGTGTTGGATGGCAAATGTGGGTAAGTGCTTATACACAATTCAGTTGCAAGTGCTGTTGTATACAACGCTGTGTCAATAACAGTAGTTTTTATATAGACCACCCTGTATATTAGTCCATCATATGATAGCTTATTAAGTTCTCTACAAAGGTTCTTAGTGCATCATACCCAAAATACTTCAAATAACCATTACGATCTAGTTATCACGCTCTTTCTGGTGACTATTCGTATACGGGCAAGTTTAGAACAAAAATATAAGCTGCAATTGAGCAGTATTTGAAAGATGTCGGTTCGCCGCCATCTCCAGGTCACGACAACGTCATGGCACTTGCCGAGGAGTACTTAGTGCAGTTGTCTCGCAAGACACTTGATGGGTTCCGACTACGGTACAAATTTGTTTTCCTCGATGATTTGTTCGTTAAATGTACCCATAGGGGTGTCTAACTGAATGCACCTTCAGGGTGTGAATAGAGAATGTGAGTTGGTATCAGTGGGATTGAAGAAATGTCCCTTTTTGCTTTTGTCGTTAGAATGGCCGGTACTAATTCTGCGAAAGATGTTGAAATCTTATGAAATTCCAGAGGCATCTAGGTAAAATTATAGAAATTATTTATCTAAACGTATTAACGTGAATTGAGTTGCTGCTAACCTTAATCTAGGTAAACATATTTTTCATACTTCCGCTGTTTACAATATTTTTCATTACTTATAGGTTAGTTATATCATATGTTCCCAGTAAATTCGAAGTTGATTGATATATCATCTATTCTCTATTATATTTATATGGGAACCCAATTATTGGGGTAAGCAAGGCTAATCGTATCAGCATTATGTTTGATTTCCCCATATTAGTTCCGTTCCCGTATATCTTATTTGCACCAAAACAGTATCGTTAACATGAGTTTTCGACAAACTAGTAGCTTGATCTAGTGAGATACCGTTGGGTTGGACAGGCGTGGTGCATCCCCATCCGTCGCCCGGGATCGTAGTGTTACCTGCTTCGAGTTGCCGAACTTCGAGTCTCCCGTTTAAAAAAACATAAATGTGGTGTAACATTATTTATGTAAAACGTGCCTTTGTTGTTAATGACCGTATTGCTATTCTTTATGTAACATGTGTCTTGGTTGTTAATGACTTTATATGCGTTGGTCATTCAACATTAATTTAAGCCTACATTTTTTGTGTATCTTTATGCCCTTGTATTGTTGCATGTATTTATTGTAGCTGGTATTCCGCTTATGAACCTATTGTCCATATTTATTAATTGTTCAAGATTTTTTGTTGTTTTTATCGATTATATTCCAAAGCTAATTCCCGTTACTCTGTTGGTTCTGTTACAGAAACAGCTGTTCTGATTATTGTTTTGCACTTTAGTGTGATAATATTGATACTTCTAAGATACAGAATTGGTTACTTTAATAATTTGTTATTGGAATTAAGTGATTATGAGGTAGAAGTTATAAAATTGTACCTACGAATTAAAAACGGACTTAAATGATTATATATTATGTTAGCTATCGCTGATTATTCTGACAAGAAGTCAGAACTCCCTAGTGCCGGAACTTTGCAAACTCATATGGTCCTTCATTGTTGTTTTATTTTTTGTTTCATTTTGGTAAGATTTTGTGCCTGTCTGGAACCCAGGGTGGATTGTTTCAGTGGGAGACCTACTCTACCCTGACCAACCGGTCAATCTATTCCCTAAAGAATCGCTGCAGACGTATCTCCAGACCAGTACCAGTACGCAGGGGCACCTTCTGCGTGCTTTCATCCACACCTATGCAATTTTTTCCTTCTTGGGTTGGGCTATATCACGTCTACCCACTCTGACCCTTAGATCTATGGTGCGTGTCCCAGTGTCTTACTCCGAAAGAGGCGGTTTCTTACAACATCTGATGATCCTCTCCTGCTACAACTCCCTGATCTACTGAGATGCTCAGCTTCATTCCAGGTCTTGTGATCTCTGCCCGGATGTAAATGCACAAGAAAACATCGCCGATTAGGACTAATCTGGAAATGAGTCCGGAAATGGCGTTGCGCAGCTGCAAAACTACAGTTTTGATAAAATGCTTTTACTGCGAACGACCGTTCTTGCTTGGATCACTTCTGTATGGCTACCGAAACGCTTGAAAGTAAGGATCGCAACGGCAATGTTGCCAACTCGCCCGGCGCAAACTTTGTTTCTTACAGTTACCCAGGTTTGACTGCAGCACTCTGTATATGGGCATCCTATGTTATTCCCCAAAGTGTTATATTTTCGTCACCTAATAAAATAATGTAACAAATACATATTTTATACATTTGTCAAAAACTTATGCCTTTATAGCAGAATAATGAAAAAGTAATTCTTCTGGACTAACGGTTTGAGTTGTCAAAAAATTGGTAATAAACAAAGATATAGACAATTTTGTGCTGGACCTTTTTTGTTTGAAACATTTTTCCATAACCCTTACCATTTTCGCTAAAACGCCCACACACGGAATGGTGCTGGATTAATGGAGACCATTTTGAATGACGTCATACTGGAATACGTGGGGGGTAGGGAATGTCCCCCCAAGTTTTTTTTTGCTTCCTATTAATACTACCAAGTAAGTAACTTACAAAAAATTTTCTTTATACGCATACTTGCACACAGAAGTAAAAGTTATACGTACAATGAATTCCGGAATACCAATACCATGGTAGGCAAAAAAATACAATGAAATGAGCACAAATCTATTGTGTAGTCTGAAATTATCGATCCAACTTCACGAACGTTTCGTCTTTGTCTGTTACGAAAACCACCAATTTTTGAGTTGTGCTTGAACGGTTCCTGGATTAATACATCTATTTTAAGTTCTTGTGGAATTGTTTTTAGTCAACTTCTTGCAGCTATTGCTGCACTTTGTTCGGATTTACAATATTTAAATGCTTGCCCTTTTGTAGCGCAGTTCCCACAAACTTCTTCTTGTTCCCTACAATACTTTAGCGAGTGTCCGTAGCTTTGACATTTAAAACACCTACCTACCACTACATTTTGAATTTTGCAACGGTCCCAATTCATGTAAATTCTCCAAAATTCTCACTTTCCTGTTTCTGAGCTCCGTTTTAAAATTTAATTTTGATATCCCTTTCTTCATTACCTTCTATTAAATTGNCGTTTTACAAAATTTAATTTTCGATCTCTCTTTTGTTCATTAACTTTCTGTTAAAATGTTTTGCCTGACTACGCTCACCTTTGTAATCACACTTTGCCTATTTTTTGCTCGCCGCTTGCAGATATGAACACGAACCAATAATGTGTGTCTGTACTCTACAGGTCATGTAGCTACACATATCCTTTTATATGCTCAGCTCGTAACTCCCGACCAAGTAAACCATGGGCTGCACACGTTTGTAGTTCCAATCAGAAGCCCGCGCACACTGCTACCGTATCCAGGTGTAAGCATAACAGATTTGGGCGAAAAAATAGGTTTGAAAGCTTTAGACAATGGGTAAATTTATTTTTAATAAAAAAAAATAGGTTACCTACATCTTCTTTTGCAGGTTTATCATATTTAACGACTACCGCATACCTAAAGACAACCTTCTTAACAAACTAGCCGATGTTAGCGATGATGGCATGTATATTAATCGCATATCGGATCCTACGACTCGATTTGGATTTCTATTGAGCACATTATCAAGTGGGCGCATAAAGACCTTTGGTTTGGCCGTAACACTCGTAAGGCACGCAACCGCTATCGCAATACGATATACAGCAATATCAAGCAAAAAGCAAGCCCCCTTGCTCGAAAATCCAGCGCATGTATACCCATACGCAAAATCATACGAATAACTTAACGACGTTGTTACAGCAAGTTCGATTAATTCCCTGTTTAGCCATTGCATACATGGGGCATATTATCCACAATGAATTGGAAACGATACAAAAGCGTCTGTTGAGATCGGATCAAACATCAGTACAATTAGGAACAGAACTTCACGCCGTCACATCCGCTGCCAAACCTGTATACACGTCGCTCGTCAGGGATTGTATACGTAAATGCTTGGAGGTTTCTGCTGATAATGCATATCTGACAGGTGAGATCACGTTTTTGAATTTCAATTTGTACAACCGGCTTTATGGCTCAATGATAGAGCGTTGGGCTATAAATCCGGAGGTCGGGTGTTCGAGCCTGGGTTGAGGTGAATTTTTCATCTGTGGTAGAGATGGGAATTACCTTAGACCAATTTCGAACATTCCGCCGGCTACTCCGAATTAGGTTTTCCTGCAGTTTTCCTAATTTGTAAGGTAAATACCGGAGTAGTATAGAACAACTTAAGACCTTCTGCAGAGGCACCTCTAAAAAGCATTATGCGGGTCACTCTGTAATTGGGCGCAAGCCTGTTGAGGGCCCAGACCAAGAGAGGGATAATTAAATAAATAAATAAACTTCCCAATTTAGTTTCCGGTTTGGAAGACATCCTACTGACATCCGATCCCAGTTACACTTACGAAGGTGACAATAACGTACTAATCCAGCAGACGACGAAATGGCTGTTGAAGTTATGGCCCGCTGCAGTGCAAGGGAAGACGATTCAGTTTGCACTGCAATCCGCTAATTTTTTATCAAATGCTGATCAAATCTTGAAACAAAAGTTTGCAATCAACTGCCTCGTGAATTTTATCGACATTCAAAGTAATTAGGTACTCCTTTCTCTCTGCTACATTCACTATGCTCCTCTTATTTCAGATATTATAGAGTATTACAGGTGGCTAACTTGTTATCTTTTAAAGCTGACTTACGACAGGCAGGAATCGTTACGGGAGCAAGAAACCAGTATCTTTGTTGTCAACAGCAGTAGCCAAGTGTACTTCTCCAAATCATTAGCAACGGTCTACTTTTTGGTATGAACCCAAAGCAAGTACATTTACTGTGATAGTTATTTCAGCATTATGTCCTACAAACTGCCAACGAAGTTATTTCAGCTGTAACCGATTATGCTTCGAAGGAAGTGTTACTGAAATTGTTATCCTTGTTCGGAGTTTGGAATCTACAGAAATACGCTCAATATTTTTACCAAGGCAACTACACCAGTGGCCCTAACTTTGCACACTATCTCGAGGATGGCATCTTAACACTCTGCAGAAGCCTAACGGACGATGCTATCTCGCTAATCGACGCTATTCTACCTGATGACATCCTGTTAAATTCGGTCCTGGGACATTCTGACGGTAAGGTGAGGATTATCCCGCAAAGTATTAGAGGTAAATAAAGTTTAATCTCGTAGGCCCATGAGCGATTGGAATCTGTATTATCTCAGACCTACGGAGCGTACGCGAAATTTCCGTGGAAAGAAGACATACGTGAATCGGCAAAATGTGTTTCAAAGCTTTAAATGGCGTATTTAGAATCATTTTGAGATGTATCCCTAAATGCGAATGTTGGCAACTAATCACCAGGAATCATGGGATTCTTGATCCTGCTTTTAAAGAATACATAATAACTACTTTTGAAAGAGTTTGATATTTGAACATGCAACAAATTTTAGCCCGATTTCTGCCACAGTACATTTTATATCCGCGTGAGGACACCTGCTAGCATCGTTAATACCTATATGCTAGAATAATTTCTGTCAGTGAGCATTTCTACTTTTCAGTGTATTATCGCCAGGAGTGGGACCACTCAAAATAATAATAATTGCTTAAGCCCTGTAACTTGGTAGAATTTTGGTGGGTTGGGTGATATTAAAAATAGAAACGAATTGAATACTCTAAGGTCTTGTTGTGATTACTGGATTAATTCGATTAATAAGGTTACAACAGGTCTAAATAGTGTTTCCCAATACTCTTGCTTTGACCAGAAGTGGTCCTAAATTCTGAAATTTAAATTTGCAATCCCCATATTTTTACATTTTTGGATTCTACAAAGGCAAATGAACACCCTATAGGTGGTTTTCTGTAATTCAAAAGAGGTTGGTCAAAAAAATAATAGAAATCTTATTTTTTCTTGATCTAGGATATGGATAATTGGCTCTTTGTATCTCTCTTTGTATACGTCCAAAATCTATTACAATTACATCTTCACTTTTGAGATTTTCCATGATCTTTTAATCGTTAACAAGTCTCTGCAGAATACAAGTTTTTTGGAGATGTTCAAAGTCCCATGGGGTTCAATTATAACCTCAAACTTACCAAATCGATGAGTATTTAAGAGGGGACCAACTGCTTGATAATGACATTGAATAAGTATCTAATATTACTTATTATACACGACACGACACGACAATCTGTTCATGAGGTATAAGGGATTATATCCAATCACGATAGGCAATCGAAGAGGAGGACTATGGATGGTAGAAATTAATTCCTTGCGTAATAGTACTATTCTTTCAGCTCTAAGGAATATTGCTATACCACAAAGTACAAGGTGTAACGTATAGGAAATCGTAAATAGTTTTTTAAGCTCATTGCACAATGGGTAGGTTAAGGTGTTGTGGACACACTGTATATACTTTAAGTACTCCTAGAATATTACGCGTCATCTGATAAAGACCTATGGACTTCTGGCAAATAAATCATAGTTAAGGTGGCGTTTCGTGCTTTAATAATAACCCGTATTGCGGAAGCAGAGAGCTATATAGTTTGAGTGCAGACGGTATAAGTGGAAAATAATTCATTGCCCGATCACTTCCATACAATAAAAGGTACTCATATGTGGAAGATTCAAGAAATTGCAAAAGTATTTCCTCGGGAAATCCAATTCCTCGTTTCTATATTGTCCAGTTTGGGGTGGCATATTTTCCAGAAGTATCGCACCGTTTTGTACCATGGCGTTTTGAGTAACGATGTAAACAATTTTATAGGAAGGGTTCAGAAGTTGTATCATTCTTTTCGAATTTAGAAGGATGCTAAGGTAGGGTTATAAATTGTATATAAAACTACGGTCCGATTTTAAGAATCCTATCATGAAAAAATTCTTTAAATTCGAGTAAACAAGATATTTGTGGAAGCTACAAAATCCAGGACGAGAATGATAAAGGGGTGAAGTTAGTCAACAGTATAAATAACCAAACCAGCGATGCTAATGAAGACCAATGCCGACCCACAAACCCGCCACACGCAAGGAGAAATCCCGGAATTAACCAATATGGTTGCGATGCTTTTAATAGTCCCAGAGATCAATCAGGATCAGAGAAGAAAATTGATAAAAATTTACAAGAAGAACAATAAGAGACTAGAACAGAAATGATAGAAATGGTTGAAGAAGTGCGACAGGCATTGAGATCCAATCAAATCAAATGGGAAAAAAAATCCAAGGCAACCAAGAAGAACTAAAAGAAGAAGCCCGAGAAGAATTTAAACCAGTAGAATTAGTATCTAAAGTATCTAAATTCTGACTTAAATTCTTTGTATTCGACCTTTTCTGCACATTCCTTGCAACTCTAAAAAATCTACTGCCATACTGTTTTGTCGTCCTCATCATCGTGAAATGTTACTTTCTAAAATTAATATTAATATTCATAATCAAACAATTATTTTCAAAGACGTTGTCAAAAACCTTGGACTATATATTGACTACAAATAGTACTAGCGGTATACCAAAAGATACTGCATTTTCTTATACCAAGGTGCCACTTGGTACAGGTGTTCCTTAGAGCCATTTAGACGATTTGGCCCGAAGAACACTTGACATTTTCCGTGCGGGTAGATTTTATAGGGGATGGGGGTGATTTATTGTAACATTTTTTTAAAAACTAAATATGGCCTAGAGACGAGATCTGGGTGTCGATTTCGTATGATTTTAACCCGAGGAATCCAATGGTAGCCCCAGAAATGTAATCCGGATACCGGAAGTCCGTGAAAAACCGCCATTTTTAGAAAATGACAGACTTGATCGAATTATATTTCTAAGGCACACCGGGTCGTGTAAGGTGTCTAGACTTATGTTTTTGAGGTCAGGGAATTCATTTATGATAATAAAAATAACCTACTGGCATCGGAACTGCATGACAGGCTTCCCTACTGCACTTTTTGAGGCGTCGCACGCGGTGAAACCCAAGATATTCCAAAGTTTTAATACCTATATAAATTTGTAATATTTTATTTAATAAAAATACACATTGACAAAACATAAAATATATTAAAACATGGGGTAAAAAATGTATAAGCCTATGAAGGATCACCAAGTACATCGCTGACCTCATCTGAGATTGCGTTATCACCACTGAAAATGTATTTCACATACCGGGTGAATATTTTAAAACCGAACGTAGGAAATTAACATGCGAAAAACGTTTTTTGCCGATCGTTGCTCCCCATGTTAACTTAGAGGATTTGTAATGACACCAATCAAAAGAAAATTTTTTTCTCATCTAATGATATACGAATTAGCTTATTTTCAGGTGTATTTCTCATTATTTTATCAAAAATTCGGCAATAAATCCAATTAGCAAAATCATGTTAAGCGATGGAAATTTCCTAACGAATTGAAATAGGTTTTCCAGGAGGTTTTCACATACACGGAAAACAAATACCGCGTACTAGAGTAAATATTTCCCCTGTAAACGTTGTTTATTATAAATACTTTTTTTCAGTGAACCGCATTTTACAAAAAAATTAATGCCAGGTGTCATAAACTGATATTGATTTCAACGTTTGAATCTGCTTTTTGTCTTAGTCATGGCTAAACATATGATTTTGGTAAGTGGATTTCTCGAGTTTTTGATAATACAGTGAGAAATACACCTGAAAATGAACTAATTCGTGTATCATTAGACGAGGAAAATCTTCTTTCGATTGGTGTCATGATCATCCCTCTAAGTTGACATGGGGAGCAACTATCTACAAAAACCCCTTTTCCCATGTTAATTCCCTATGTTCGTTTTGGGAATATTCACCCGGTATAAATATTAAAGGTTCGGTAGTAAATTAACTATATCCGAAAGTATACAATATTCTTACCCTTTGTTTGAGCAATCTCCCATACATTTTTGGCATGCAGGGGAACATGGCAACCCGTGTCGCCGGCAGTTGCACTGAAGGGTCCCGCAGCCACACCTGTCCAGAGCACGGACTGCCTTCCATACTTGTGGCAGCTTGGACTGCAGAACCTTCCAGCCTTTGGCTTCAAGAGTCCATCCCCATCCTTCTGGACTTGTGGAGCTTCTCATCACCTGGTTTGCACATTCCCAGATATGGCCAGCGACATACGCCGCCCTCCTTATGTGCTCCTCCACCTCTTGCTGCGGCGACACGGATTACCATGTTCCCCTGCATGCCAAAAATGTATGGGAGATTGCTCAAACAAAGGGTAAGATTGTATACTTTCGATATAATTTACTGCCGAACCTTTAATATTTACCTATATGTAAAATTCCTTTCCAATGGTGATAACGCAATCTCAGAGGGGGTCAGAGATGTACTTGGTGATTCTTCATCGGCTTATACATTTTTTACCCCATGTTTTAATTTATCTTATGTTTTGTTAATGTGTATTTTTATTCAATAAAATAATATAAGTTTATATATTAAAACTTTGGAATATCTTGGGTTTCACCGCGTGCGACGTCTTCAAAAAGTGCAGTGGGGAAGCCTCTCATGCAGTTCCGATGACAGTAGGTTATATTTGTTATCATAAATGAATTCCCTGACCCCAAAAACATAAGTCTAGACACCTTACACGACCCGGTGTGCCTTAAAAATATAATTCGATCAAAAGTCTGCCATTTTCTAAAAATGGCGGCTTTTCACGGACTTCCGGTATCCGGATTACATTTCTGGCGCTACCATTGGATTCCTCGGGTTAAAATCATACGGAATCGACCCCCAGATCTCGTCTCTAGGCCATATTTAGTTTTTAAAGAAATGTTACAATAAATCACCCCCAACCCCTCTAAAATCTACCCACACGGAAAATGTCAAGTGTTCTTCGGGTCAAATCGTTTAAATTGCTCTAAGGAACAACTGTACCAAGTGGCACCTTGGTATAAAAAAATGCAGTATCTTTCAAGAATTTCCGTTATACCGCTAGTACTAAAACTACAGTTTAAACAGCATGTATCTACTTGTCTCCAAAAAGCGTACGGCAACTTGAAAAAAATGTATTCTTTCAGATCTTATTTTAGTTCAAAAATCAAATCTTTACTTTGTGAATCCCTCGTCCTTTCTCCCTTAAATTATTGTGACGTAGTTTATAGTGCGTGTTTAGATTCTATCGATCAACGGCGAATTCAAAAGCTACAAAATGGATGCTTGCGATTAATATTTGGTATAAGGAAATTCCAACGTATTTCTCATAAGCTAAAGGAAGCGAAGTGGCTGAATATGCAAAAGCGAAGAGATTTGCATAGCTTATCGCTTTATCACTCAATTATTCTAAACAAAACACCGGCGTATTTGTATGATAAAATAACTTACAGAACAGATGTTCATAATTTAAATTTGAGGTTTAGGGAATTGATAAGTCCACCATTACACATTACATCTTTTTTCGAAAGATGCTTCACTTTTAACATCTAC